CGATTTTGCAGATTCTCATTGATTCAGTCCTTCTCAGTTTCTCACTCAGTCACTCTGTCAGTAACTTCACTAACTTGGTATGTCAGTAACTTCACTAACTTGGTATGTGAATTTATGTTGTGAAATTGGATTGATATTTAATAGTGTGAAATTTTGAAATAGTATAAATTTTGAAATAGTATAAATTGTGAAATTGCCATCACAATGAAATAGTACTTGTTCACTTGTTAAGTGTGTTTAGCCCTGAATAATGTTTCATTTGAGAAGAGTGACACTAGTAGGAGAATATTGAACCAGGGAGTGGAGAATTGGTGGGATGAATTGATTACCTTCTTTAGGAATTTGATTGATCGATGTTTCCATAGGGACGTGTTTCATTTAACTGTAGTAATGTTCACACTCTAGTGCCTTCAACTGTTTAAGAAATTTCTCCATGAATTATAGAAGTCGGAGTTTGAAGAAGTGGAAGAGAAAGATCCCTTCAGCCCCAAGATGCCCATTAAGAAACAAGATGAGTACATAGTTGGTGCTTTTTCTGACTTTAAATGTATAGTTGGGTACAAGATGAGTACATAGCATATTTATGGCTTGTTTAGTTGGGTTTGCTTCTGCCATCACAATGAAATAGTATAAATTTTGAAATTGTGAAATAGTATAAATTGTGAAATTGCATTGTGAATTTGCGATTTGGAAGGTGAATTGATATTGTGAAATTGGATTGATAATGTGAAATTGTGAATTGGATTGTGAAATGTGAATTGCACTTGCGAATTGAAATTGTGAAATTGTGAATTTCTTATCCTTTTGTTATTATGAATTATTCTCACTTACTTCAAGTAATAACTGGATATCAAATGTTTAAATCCAGATATCAAATGAATAGATACTTTCAACGAAAAAGGAACATAGATAGTGTTGATGAGGGGGCATCGAATAATGTGGATGTTGATAAGGGGTTATCGAATGATGTGGAGTTTGATGTCACAAAACTTCCAACTGATCCTGGTTTAAGGATACCCATTTTGGATTACAATGCTAACATCCGAGATGAAGTTCGAAGAGCATATATGTTAAAGGGTCCTTGTCAGCCCCAAGATCATAACTTTCCAAAACGACAATTTGGAGTAACAATTAGACGATTCAATCCTTCGTGGTTTAAAGAGTTCGGTAGTTGGTTGGAGTACAGTGTAGAGAAGGATGCTGCTTATTGTTTGTATTGTTATCTTTTCAGAACAAGTTCTGGAAAGCAAGGTGGAGGTGAGTCTTTTGTTGGCGAAGGTTTTACATATTGGAAAGATAAAAAAAGGCTTCATACTCATGTTGGGCTTCATGATAGTGCACATAATCAAGCTCGCATTAAGTGTGAAGTGTTGATGAATCAAGAGCAACACATTCAATCAGTTTTCTACAAACAGTCAGAACAAGCAAGAAATGCATATGTTACACGCCTTAATGCATCCATTGATTGTGTTCGAGTTCTTTTGCGACGAGGGCACTCATTTCAAGGTCATGATGAATCTGAGGATTCTCTCAATCCAGATAACTTCTTAGTGCAATATCAATTTTTGGCTGCTCATAATGAAGTTATCAATGCCGTCACATTGGGAAATACTCCTCACAATTGCAAATTGACATCACCTGATGTTCAAAAGGATATAGTAAATGTTTGTGCTATTGAAACGATCAATGTTATTATCAAAGATGTTGGTGACTCGCTATTTTCTATTCTAGTTGATGAATCTTGTGATGTGTCAATGAAGGAGCAAATGTCTATTGTTTTACGTTATGTAGACAATAGTGAGCGTGTCAATGAACGCTTCATAGGGATTGAACATGTTACAAGTACTACGGCTCTATCACTTAAGGCTGCAATTGATAAGGTATTTTCTAGATATAACTTGAGTATGTCTAGATTGAGAGGACAAGGTTATGATGGAGCAAGTAATATGCAAGGTAAGTTTAATGGTCTGAAAACACTCATTTTGAATGAGAGTCCATGTGCCTTTTACATTCACTGTTTTGCTCATCAACTCCAACTTGCGCTTGTGGCTGTGGCAAAGAAGAACATCCCTATTACTAACTTCTTTGGTGTGGTTGGGAACGTAATAAATACTGTTGGACCATCTTCCAAACGATGTGATCTTCTTCGAGAAAAACAATTAGACTTTATTGTTGAGGCATTGGAAAAAGGTGAGATTTTAAGTGGACAGGGACTTAATCAAGAAACGGCCCTTCAGCGCTCTGGTGATACACGATGGAGTTCACATTATAATTCTTTGGTCAGCTTGCTTGCCATGTTCTCTTCTGTTGTAGATGTACTCGCAATAATTATTGAAGATGAGTCTTGTTCTTGTGATCAAAGATCTGATGCAACAAATTTATTGGAGTTAATACAAAGATTTGATTTTGCATTTAATCTACAGTTGATGAGAAGTGTGTTGACGATTTCAAATGAACTGTTAAAGGCATTGCAAAGAAAAGATCAAGATATTGTGAATGCAATGCAATTGGTAAGATTGTGCAAACGACGACTCCAAATAATGAGAGACGAAGGGTGGGACTCCTTTTTGGAAGAAGTATGCTCTTTTTGTCAAAAACATTATATTCATGTACCCAACATGGATGATATGTTTTTACGCCTTGCAATTCGTGGTCGCCCTCAGCGTAATTCTCCAGAAATTACAAATTTACATCATTATCGAGTAGATTTGTTCTACTCTGTCATCGACTTACAACTTCAAGAATTGAATGATCGTTTCTCGGAGGTAAATACAGAGTTACTCCTTTGTGTAGCTTGTTTATGCCCACAAGATTCATTTTCTTCTTTTGACAAGAAAATTTTGATTAGACTTGCTGAGCTTTATCCATTAGATTTCTCTGCAGTAGATTGTATTGTACTTAGCGATCAACTTGAGACTTATATTTTTGACATGCGCTCTAACAAAGAGTTTGAAGGGTTGAATGGCCTTGGTGATCTTGCGGAGAAGTTAGTTTTGACAAAGAAAGATAAGGTATATCCATTGGTTTACAGACTTTTGACTTTAACATTGATTTTACCGATTGCTACCGCTACTGTGGAGAGAGTTTTTCTACAATGAGCATCGTAAAGAATAGATTGCGCAATCGGATGGGTGATCAGTGGATGAATGATAGTACTATTGTTTATGTAGAGAGATATATATTTTTGAAGCTCGATAATGAAGTTATTGTACGACGATATCAAAATATGAAAATTCGCAAGGAACAAATTTAATATATAAATTATGTCGTTTTTGGTGTTGTTGTAATATTGTTTTATTTTTTTTATCATCATTAAATCTATGACCAAAACCTCGAAGTTCGACGTCGAAAAATGATGCCCGCACTGGACGTAAATCCTGGCTCCGCCCCTGGTAGTAGCAGCAATATACTGCAGTCTTGGCCTGCATACTGAGACAATTCCCATTCTTGAGCGATCAATTGAAACTCCAGTGATGGATTTGGGCCAAAATCACGCACTTGCTAAATTTTCTGGCTGCATGCAGTTGGGTGATACCTATGCAATGCTCGGGTAGATTGAGAACTCTATTGTGTGTTACACTGCTGGTTTGGAGATTCAACAACTAGTTCTGGGGGACAGTAATCCTCGATTTGGCTTGACTTGCAGGTATCTTGCCGAAGCTCATGTTCAGGCAATGCAATTTGATGAAGCTGAGACGCTTTACCTTATGGCACTCGATATCCATAAAAAGAATGAATCCTCAGCTTCTCCTGAGGAAGCAGCAGATAGGAGACTTTTGGGACTTATTTGTGAATCTAAAGGAGATTATGAAGGTTCCCTAGAACAATATGTTTTAGCAAGCATTGCAATGGCCGCCAATGACCAGAATGCAGACGTGGCTGCCATTGACTCCAGCATTAGCGATGCATATTTATCTTTGGCGCTGTATGATGAAGCTATTTTTTCTTATCAGAAAGCTCTCAATATGTTACAGTTGAACAGAGGAGTAAACCATGTTACAACCCACATTATTTAGTCAAAAGTCAAGAGTTGAATTTTCAAAGTCAAAATCACATAGGGACTTAAATGAAATAAATGACTTTATTGGGACTTAAATTGACTAAAATATTTTATTGGGGTTTATTCTACAATTGACAATATATGAGGGTTATATTGGATACAATTGGAAGTTGAAAATTTACTTATACGTTTTTGGGAAGTTTAGGATTTAAATGTTAGCTCATATTAGAGAAGAGGGAATTTTCTTGCAAATTGGAGTTAGTGGGTTTTTAATGCCTTTGACCATCAATTTTTCTCTCATAAATCACATACACACACACTAGAAGAAAGAAAGTACCGGCAGAGAAGACGAAAAAGGGAAAGAAAAGAGGGAAGAAAAA